TGGCCGTGAGCTGTTGGATTTTGCCATTTGGAAGTACAACTTGGTTAATCGAAGTTGGGTAAAGTGCGAGGGGATGGAATATAGACGCTGCTTGTTTGCCTCTGGTTGCGTTGGCTCTATTGCTATCGTGGCAGGTGGAAGTGATAAGAAGGGGAATATACTGAAATCAGCTGAGTTGTATGATTCTTCCACCGGTAAATGGGAGTTGTTACCCAGTATGCACACACCACGTAGATTGTGTTCTGGTTTTTTTATGGACGGCAAATTCTACGTGATTGGTGGGATGTCGAGCCCTACTGATTCATTAACATGTGGAGAAGTGTATGACCTAGAGACAAAGAAGTGGAGGAAGATAGAGAGAATGTACCCTAATGTCAATAAGGCTGCACAGGCACCTCCGCTCGTGGCTGTAGTGGATAATGAGCTCTACTCCGTAGAGCACTTGACCAACATGGTGAAGAAGTACGACAAAGCAAAGAACACCTGGGATGTGCTGGGGAGACTTCCAGTGAAGGCTGATTCTTCTAATGGGTGGGGCCTTGCTTTTAAGGCTTGTGGCGAGGAACTTTTGGTTGTCGGAGGGCAGAGAGGTCCAGAAGGTGAAGCTATTGTGCTGAACTCTTGGAATCCAAAATCAGGGGTCAAGAATGGCACTTTGGATTGGAAGGTGCTTGGTGTCAAGGAGAATGTTGGGGTGTTTGTATACAATTGCGCTGTGATGGGTTGCTGACTGTTAAATCAGAATTGACTTGAAGAAGGTACAGTACCTGCTATCTGACCTGGCCGTTTAGGATGCTTTCTTGCACATTTGTTTCAGCAACCAGACTAAATCTTTACAATAGGATTTGAACCTTGAACTTGGTTTTCTTTCTCAATGCTTGTATTTGGTTATGTTTATCCCTCTCCTTATTTGATGTTTATCGCATAAGAGGAATAGAAAAATCATTTCAGCCTTGTCTCATCTCTGTCTGATGCACAGGGAGGTCATCTCTGCAAATGAAGTGAAAAGTTTTAGTGTGTACAATAATGACATTCATCTTTTGATTCTTAATTTGGCTTCTTTTCTGCTATCTGTTTGGTTGCATCCGTTTTCAAGGAAATTTTGGATTTGTTCCTTGGATTTGATATTCCATGCTCCAATTTAGACATCATTCTAGTTGTGGTCTCGTGGAAAGAAAATGCTTGGCAAGTTGCTTCAGAATTATTTGCTCAAAGCATGGCATTCAAAAGATGGCATGGTTGAATGAGACATGTCATCGTTAAAGCCAGTACATTGTCATGCAAAAGCACTCTGATTTCCACAGAAATCAACACGGATTATAGACCATGATATAATGAAGTTGGCATCATATTGAAACAAGATGCCAGATGCACTGTTGTGAACATTTGGAAATGTCAATGCGCTTGGGCAGTGAGGATGTTTCTTGCTTGATCACGGTGTAACCTGTTCTGCAATGTTACCATGAAATTTTTTGCAAAGTGGGAGAAATTTAACATACTTGCTTTGCACTTCATAGTTTTTAGTCTCTTTAATATATTTCAAATGCATGGTTAATTGTCTTCCTCCACTGCTCATCTCACAAAGTTTTCTCTGATTTAGTAGGCTTTTTTGCCAGATTTTCTGTTCCTCCTGGGTCAAGCATTTGCACTGTATAACATTTGTCTTATCAAGTTAAATTTCATTTTCATCACACTGTCTGTCTGAATTATCACAGTAGTTCAGTTTCATCTGACTAGTTTTTTTCGTAATCTTGGATGAGTTTCTTCCAGCTCGTTTAGGGTCTTGAAAAATTTGCTGAATGAGAGCGACTATAAGTTGCAGATGATTTTACTTATTGCGATGGTCGGTAGCCTTTGTCGAACTCTGTGCTTTGCATGTCAGAAGAATATTCTGCATCGTTATTAAAGGTAAACGAAGGCATCCCGGTGCACAAGGCCCTCCGCACTGGAGGGTCCGGGGGAGGGTATGATGAATTATCATTTAACTTGTTACCCGTTTTGTATATTCGCCGACTGTTCTCATACCTGAATTGCATGAGGGAAGAAAACAGTCATGGTTTGTAATCCTTGATGCCGTCTTTGATAGGTCTGGTTTCCAGTCTCCGCTTTTATATTACGAATGTTTTCCCGCTTCAGCGCGTCCCTAGCGACTAGTTCCGGCATGTTTCTTTTCTGGTATGATTGATGACCAAAGTACACTGGTCTCTGTTTGGGACGGTCTAAAAGAAGGAGTAAGTACACTTGCCATTCGTGCAAGCAGGAGCAGCAACGGAACTAGTCGGCGGGCTAAAGACCCTAGGCCCTCTCATTATTGTACTTCGAATCTCTGTGTCATTGCAGGCTGGCCCAGATTAAAAGAACTTGGCTCATAGCATTTCATTTTCCCCAATGTTTAAGGTGACGCAGGACGCATTGTGCGGCGGGGGCAAACTGGTCCTTAAACTCTCGCCTCAATTTTCTCTTCCAATTTTCCATAGTTGTCACAAAATTATCTGTAAGAAGGGACCATCAAGAGTGGAGATCTGGTCTGAGCAAAACACAGCAACACTTGAGCCCGACCCAGAAATAAAGGTAAGGAATTATCCAAGGCGTGGCTAGACTTTTTAAGTTTTTAGCTCGAACTTCTGACTCGATAAGGCATTCGTATGCTCGAGCTCAGCTGAAATCTAGCCCAACTGAAACATTGATCTTCACTGGAGCTGAAGCTCGACTATATGGATTACGAGAACTATAGCAGTCAAAGTCGAGGCGGGTCTTTATTGCTCGGGTTAGGTGCTGTATATAATTTTCATATTCCAACTACTCCTTGAGCCATAGAATTGAATCGAACTCATTGAGTAGATGGCATGATTGATCAGTTATCATTCACTTGGCCACGGGTGGACCACTTTGAGAGGAAAAAACAGAGTGGATGGAATCAGAATAGGGGTTATGATCTTAACTTTTCATTTGCTTTGATGAGCTTGTGCCTACCTTTGCTTTTTGGATCGGCCTGAACAAAGAGAGCCTCAATGTCCATTTTCCACCTTTTTTTCTTCTTTTCTTTTCTTTATTTTGTATGTTCTTCTGGGGTTTTCAGTTTTATTTTCCCAACATAAATCCTTTTCAGTCACCGGCTTTCTCTTCTTTTTAATTCGCAGCCCGACCCTTGCAGGCGATGGACCCTCTGGACCTAATGGCGAAGTTCATGGTCCATTTTGCCATGTCATAAGATTTATATCTACATTTTCTTTTCTTTTTTCACCAAAAGTTTCAAAAGAAGGCAAAAGAAAAGATACTTTGCATGGAGCCAGAGCTTTCTATACGCACTTTCTCGGGCTTATATAGCTTTGCCCTTTTTGTTTCGCTAAAAAAAAAGGTTCCATCATCCGATGGTCGGGCTATCTGCCCCTACTAAATTTCACCGATTATATGTAACCGTCTTGTTAAGCAAACCGATTTCGTCCCGGGTTCTTTCTAATGGAGGCATAATTGACAAAATCATTTGATACCTTTTTAGTTTGCGTATCTCTACATGTATTTTGGTCGTGTATGATTATCGAAATCATTTGCAAATAACGATCAAAAGCAGCCTCTTTTCTTTAGGTAGGCATTGGCAAGCGAAGCGACCTAACTTTCGTCATTTTGTTTGAAATATTGGGAAAACAGACGACTTTCCTGTTTCGAATGAAACCTAAATCCCAACTTTTTTGCCTAAAAGTAGGTCGTACAAACTCACGTTTTTCATCGGAAATCGAGGCACGAGGAGACTTTGCAAAATTTGATGAACTTGGCTTTAGTCTAGGTCCTTATTTTCGTGAAATGTACACAGCAAATCAAAAAAGTTTCGTGCCATAAGTCCTTTTATAAAGTTGGTGCGCCATTTTTTTAACACTAGACAACTAGAATCGTCCAGGGATTAATATAATCTGGACATAATTCCCATTTCTTGTTTTTCCGGTGATTTGACAATCCAAAAGGAGATTATACTCCGCCCACATTCTGTTAAATAACCCTGAAAAAAATATGGACCATGAAATTCTTTTGTTCACGAATCCATCCTGCCCTTTTCCACTTGCATAAAAATAATAGTAATAACAACAATAAATTACAGAAAGAATGTTTGTTTACTTATGATTGATTTGTTCCGGTAAAATGTTTCTTGTGGGCTCGAATGATACGCAACCGTTTAAATTGTTAGACAACCGCGTTTAATATATTTTGCATCCTACAGGCCTACTTAAAAAAGGGCTTTTCAAGATAGTCACTGATTTTTGGCTAAATCGCACAAAATCATAATGGAACATGAACAAATTCAAATAGGTCGAATATATAGAGTTAATTCATATCTATAGGTGCTTCTTGAAAAGTTTTTGGACTCTAAGGTTATGCAATGTAAATCAACTAACTAAACAGACGAGAGGAAAAAAAAGAAACAGATCTTCAAGATCCGGATTGTTCCTCTTCTGCCCCCCTCTCGCACGTTGTCATTTGTCAATTGGGTAATGATGGTACCCGATGAAACCGGTTTTTCAAGTGCATGATGTGATGTCGTTCCATCAGTGAATCATCATCCATTCATTGCCTGCAACATGCTGGTGCACAGTAACTTTGCAATCCTCAGCCTTTTCTTGACCGAATGATAACATGGGCGAACAAGATTTGCTACCATTGAGAGATTGCGCGCATTCGTCCGTGCGGTTAATGTACAAATCTAAATCTGAGATCCATCGTCCGCTATTGTTCGTTCAGGAGAAGAAGAGTTTCTGTCACCTATAGAGCATACATTTGAAACAGAGCATTAAACAAGTGGAGTTCTGTTCATTTATCATGAATCAATTATCTCACACAAAAGGTGGTAAGAAAGAAGTCCGCGCGCACTGGAGGGAATTTAAGTGGACTGATTGTGTGTGCGTGCGTGCGTGCGCTACGTTTTAAGAGGCCCCGCCACAGTAATGAAAATCTACGCACACACATTAAATGACATTAACACTAACGCTTCGTCTTCCCCATAATCCCATTTATGTCCAAGACTCGGATCTTCTGTCTATTTTAAACTTCCTCGCACACACTCCTCTCTCTCTCTCTGTCTCTCTCTCTCTCTCCCTTTTCTTCTTTTTCCAAGTTGTAAGCGTTCTGGTGTGTTTTTTTGGGTGGTCTCGTGCTGGTTCCTACGTTCTGTTCTGAAGGTTGCTCTGCTTGTTGAATCTTCCATATACCCTTTTGAGTTTTTGAGTAAAATGGAAACTGAAGACAAGGTCTCAGAGAAGGAGCAAGAAGAAGTTATTACTGGTGAAACAACAGTAGTCATTCCCATTCATAAGGTAGTTCTGTGGCATCTCTGTTTCTTTCTTTGTTTCTTTCTTTCCTTCTGGGATTTGGGTTCCATTAATGCACTGTGATTTAGTTTCTGTGAGAGATGTTTTCTGGAGCTCAAGGACTTTGAATTGAGTGAAATAACAACTCTCATGGCAGTGCATGTTTTCAGGGACTATTAATCTGCACTCCGAATCCTTACAAATCAAAGCATATGGAATGTTTATCCTGCTACTTTATGAATTCTGTGCTTACTCTATGATTCATAAAATTTCTGTAATATGTGGCCGCAGTTTTAACTTGGACGGCTCTTTTTGTTTTGCTTGCTTCGTAGTTAGTACTTACTCCAGCAGTTCTTTGTCTAGTTGACTATTTCCTTATATTTTCTTCGAGATCATTGATCTGATATGTTTCTTGAGTACCGAGGTTCGGCTTGCATGCATTTCTGGCACATAGTTAGTGCACTCGGCATCTGAATGAGACTCATCATCTTGATCCGTTGCTTTGTGGTTAGGCCAATGATTTGAAGTACATTCTGCCACAATAACTTGGATTTTGTTTTTCATCTTGTATCGCAAAACGGGAGTGAGTAGCTCCCCTGCACAAATGAGGCTTGGCAGATAAAATTTGAAAGCATATATAATTATGGTTTCTGCTGATCAGCAGTAGATCCTTGTTCCTTATTTCTAGGTCAAAGATTTGATGGAAAAAGCCCGAGAAGCTCCGCCGGTTCATCATTGGAGAAAACAAAATCTTTTCCTAGATATACCCGCAAAGAAGATGGAAATGTGTACTCATGATAATGTCATGATCAAAATGCCGCCGACACCAAGTGCCACCCCTAAGAGAGTAAATTTTCTCCTGACACCGAGCTCGAACGAAGGGAGATATAGCAATGCATCCCCAGGTCCCTCCTCTTCTAGGGGCAAATCATCCATAAAAAACTTATTGCCTAAGTTGAGCTTCATACACCGAAATTCAGCAGCAGATGCTGAGAAAGCCGCCAATCCAGATCCAGAGGCTTCATTCACGGGACTAAGAGACAAGACTTCCATAGCTAGGTCGCTGTCGCTCACAAAGTTGTTCTCTCCTAGAATGAACAGAGCATCTTCGCTACCGGTGACTCCAATTGGGAACCCCAGTAAAGAATCCTCGCACAGCCAAAGTGTTTGTAGTACTCCACTGCCAAGTGTAAGACATTGATGATACTGCCTTTTGAGCTTCCGGTACCACCAATTTTACTGAACTGAACTTGAATTTCTTTTTCATCGAACTTAATGACACCAAACTGGAGAATCAGTGTCGTGGGAAGGGAATTGAAATCTCTTTGCAGCGTTCTCTCTGTTTTACAGTTGTTCTGGTTTATAATTTTTCGAGGATTTTGCAGTCAACAGGACCTCGAAGAACAATTCTGCGGTCACTCTCAGTTCCTGTCAACCATAAAGAGAAAAGCATCAGGAGAATGGACTCTTTCTTCCGCGTTATACCTTCTACACCCCGTTTAAAGGAAGGAGATACGATGTCTAACGTGTCTCAGACAGTTGATCACGGTATTATCACGGATTAGCTAACGGTTGAATTCTATAGATTCCTTCTTTGAACTCTTTGACTTGGCATTTGAAATTTCCTAGGCAGTCTTTTTTCGGAGAAATTTCTGCTTTGGGATATTGTCAAATTGCTGCTCATGTGTAGTTGCAATCATATTACTGGTTTAGCACTTGAGGAGCTCCCTAACTATTATAATCCATGATTATTTGCCTTTTTCTAATATCTTTGGCTTGTTCAATATCTCAGAGCTCTCTCTCTGTCTCTCCATCAGATGGACTAGAGCTTTACACAATTCACCGGCGCACTTCTTGTCTGCTCTTGTAGCTCAAGTTTATCTGAACATCCATGCTTGGTTTTCTGGAAATATCTTATTCTTAACGTAGCCTTTTTAATTGAAAAGGAAATGATTCTGATGGTGAAGACATACCCGAAGAAGAGGCCGTTTGTAGAATTTGTTTGGTTGAGCTGTCTGAGGGCGGGGAAACTCTCAAGATGGAATGCAGCTGCAAAGGCGAATTGGCTCTGGCCCATAAAGAATGTGCTGTGAAATGGTTTAGCATCAAAGGTAACAAGACTTGCGATGTGTGCAAACAAGAGGTTCAGAATCTGCCTGTGACTCTTATGAAAATACAAAGCATCCGCAATCGAACAGTGGGAGGCACTCAAGTTGAGCAGGAAGATCTTAGTCAATACAGGTAAGTGAATGGCCACTTTTATTTACACGTCCGTTATGTATCTTTCAAATTTGTGTTTCCTCTTGGTTCCTTCCAACATCGGATGCTCAACATTTTTTCTGGGTTCCGATAAACGTTTGCCAGTCCTAAAAGTAGACATGTAATGCACATGCCATCTACTCTGCAACAACAGAGTACTCTGGATCAAAGTTTCCCAAAAAAGAGTGCTATTAATAGAAGATTGATGAGGGGCAATTTTCTGATCTTAATACTTTGAATCTTTACAGGCTGTGGCAGGAAGTGCCAGTCCTCATCGTTGTGAGCATGCTCGCCTACTTTTGTTTTCTTGAGCAGCTTTTGGTGAGATATAAGCGATTCAAATCTCTGGAAAAAGAAGTGATTCCAATATGTTGTTTTGTCATCCTTTCTGTTTGTGAGTGACATGTCTCCTACGTGCAGGTTGCGAAGATGGGTACAGGCGCAATTGCCATATCTGTTCCATTTTCTTTTGTTTTAGGTCTCCTAGCGTCCATTACTTCATCAACCATGGGTAGGTCGCGAAAGATGCTCCACAAACATAACTAGGATGTGTATATGGCAAAAGAAAAACATGGATTTATCCTTTAAAAGTAAACAATTTTCGTTTTTGAGGATTTCAGAATCGATAATGGGGTGTATTTTCTGTCGATTGAAACAATGTTTTCTAACTTGACCTCTTTAATGTGTCTGTGCAGTGAAGAGCAGATATGTCTGGGTCTATGCATCTTTCCAGTTTGGCTTGGTGGTTCTCTTCGCTCATGTGTTTTACTCTTTGGTAAGAATGCAGGCGTGAGTCGATATCACAATCAGTTGTAGAGCAAGCTTATTTTTCCATTTTCGATGGGTTGAGTTTGCTCAAAACTTTTGTGATGCATGTCATAGGTTCATCTGCAAGCCGTCCTATCAGTTCTCTTTGCGTCTTTTGCTGGTTTCGGCGTTGCAATGAGCGGGAGTTCGATTCTTGTCGAGTTCTTGAGATGGAAGAGAAGATGGCATGCCGCCCATTCGGTGCAATTTCGCCATGCTCAGGTGGCAACACGTCCAGGCCAGGTTCCTCGGGGATCTCCGGATTCACCATGGGAAGGATCCTCTCTGAGCCATCCGACCCAAGTGAACAATCCGGAAACTTTTAGCCGAAGTTGAACTGGTTGGTACTCCGAAGCAGACCTCGCAAAAATTTCCATTTGGCAGAATGTGGGCCTGTTTGGTTCAACTTTGAAAATGCTACTTGGGAGAATGCAAATATTTTTGGGTGAAAGCCATTGCGAAAATGCAAATGGTGTTTGGTAAAAATATTTTGTAAAGCTATTTTGGCCAAAATATAGTGTTTGGTGAATTTTCTTTTGCAAATAGACTTTGGGAGAAAAAAACCTAACTTACCCTTCGTCGGAGCCGGCCGCCGGCAAGCCAGATCTGGCGCCGGCGGCCGTCGCTCGAGGCTCAGGCGGCCGGCGGCGGCCAGATCTGGGGCCTGGCGGCCGTCGCCCGAGGCCGGCGACCCTCGGCGAGGGTCGCGGACCTAAGCGGACGCCTGAGTCGCACGACCCAGCGACCTGTCGCCTCGTACGGCCGCTCGGGTTGCGCGACCCAGGCGGCCGGCCGCCTGGTCGCGCGACCTCAGGCGACGGCCGCCTCGAGGTCTCGCGACCCAGCGACCGGGCCGCCTGGGTCGCGCGACTCAAAGCGGCCGCTGGGTCCCGCGACCCTCGCCGAGGGTCGCCCGGCCTCGGGCGACGGCCGCCGGCCTCTCGCTGGCCCGATCCGGCGTCGGCCGCCTCGCCGGCCTCCCTCGCCGGCCACCTCACTAAGAAGAAGATGAACAGTACACACGAGGAGCGAAAATGGGTTTTTAGACAAATTTTAAGGGCAAAAAAGGCAACTAACATATTTTCATTAAATGGAGTACCAGCATTCCGAGAATGCTGAAAGCTCAAGGCAACCTAGGGGGTGCCTTGAGCTTTCAGCCTTGAGAAGGCCAACATTTGGCCAAAGAGCTCCAAAAATAATTTGCCAAACACAAAATAATTCCCTCAAAGCTCCTTGGCAAAACCCAACCAAACACCCCCTCGGTCTTCATATAAAACCAGCTACCATCCCAAACCCCCCCTCATTTTGCAGTGGCTTTGGGGCCGTTTTCAAGGGGAGACCAAGTGTGTATTAGCCTTCAGTTCCAACCAAAACTCGGTGATGGGCCCAATTTGGAAAGAATATGAACAAGGAAAGAGAACTATTTAAATAGGGATAATAACATAAATAATTCCTGAATTTTGGCCTAATGTTCAATGCGTACTTGAATTTTTAATTTATTCAATGCGGTCCATGAACTTTAACTTAATGTGTGATATAATCCCAAAACTTTTAATTTATTCAATATCATCCATAAACTTTTGGTACATATTCAATTTAGCCTTTGAATTATATGAAAATGTTCAATATTAACTTAAGAAAACACGAACAAATTAAAAATTTAAGAATCATATTATACATTCAACTAAAATTTATAAATTATATTAAAAAAATTAAAAGTTTAAATATCGCGTTACACGTTCAGGAATTGTTTGCGTCGTTTTCCCGAGCAGTGAAAAGGGCCTCCATCTCCAAGAGTCTAGGGCAATCCGTTTGACAAACGGTCAACGACATGAGTTGAACCCCAGAAACGGAGCACCCCATCTTCCGCAATCTCACCTCTCCGACTAGATGAATGTTTCCCACTAAATTAGCTCATGCCCTCCCGCCTCTCCTCCTCCACGCTCGCTTCCCTCTCTCTGGTCCCATCTCTCTCTCTCTCTCTCTCTCTCTGAGCCTCAGCGTGTCCGTGCAGTTCATGGGGTTGTGGTTTTCCGGCGAAAGTTTCGGTCTTGGGTGCGTTCGGCGCCTGACGTGTCGTTCCGGTTGGCTTTTCAGGTGTACCCAGAAACGGGTTCGTGCGGATTCGTGAGCGGAGTAGGAGACCCGGAAGTAAAATGGCGTGGAGTTTGGACAAGTGCGACGACAAGTTGGATGCGGTTCGCGAATCGACGGAGGCGGACGCCCCGGAGGCAATTGAGGCTCTCAAGTCAGGGAAGGTGATTGCGGTGCCGACTGACACGCTCTATGGCTTCGCTTGCGATGCTTGGTAAATGTCTCTCCAGCACCAAACCTTGTCGTTGCTGTTCTTAAACAGTAGGCGTGTTGTTTGCGAGATTGCCCACTTATAAAGTTGTCAAACGTGAATTTGCAATGTTATATTAGTTAGAAGATGGGATTGGAGTCACTGGGGTTCTCTCAATTTTGTTCAGCTGATCTTGATAGTTGATGGAGGTCTGTCACATCATTTCGAATTATGATTTTCCAATTCAGAGTGCTGGTAAGAGTACGTGCGACAGAACGTTGAGTAATTGATAATTTAGGCTCTTGGTCATGATTTGTGGGTCACTTGGTACTATGTGGGTGTTGTGCCTCTGGTTGTTTATCATAGATGATAACCTTGGTTTGCTGATCTGCAGTTCTGCAGAAGCTGTTAACCGGATATATGAGATCAAAGGACGGAAGCATACGAGTCCTCTCGCCATCTGTGTTGGAGATGTTTCTGACATAGAACGTTTTGCAGTGACCAACCATTTGCCGCATGGTTTGCTCGATTCTCTCCTTCCAGGACCTGTAACTGTCATATTGAAGCGAGGTAATTAATTATCTTCCGCATCTTGAAACATGAGTGAGAAATGAGAATCAGTGAACCGAGAAAATTGTTGTGCAAATAAAGTAACTCCCGACCATCTCTGCAAAAATTTCCATCCGACTCCTAGGAAGAGCATTTTGCCAATATGTTTCTCGCTTTCATGGAATAATATCCTTTCACAGTTCACAGTCTGTTTCATTTAATCATCATCCAGAAGTGGTCTAAGAGCAGTAATTTAAGTACTTTTCAGGGGAATCAAGTATTCTTGAGAAGTCTCTAAATCCTGGATTAGATAGTATAGGAGTCCGAGTGCCAGACTGCAACTTCATCAGGGTTATTGCCCGTGGATCTGGGAGTGCTCTTGCCTTAACAAGCGCCAACTTAAGTGGCCAGCCAAGTAGCGTCTGCATCAAGGATTTCGAGAACCTCTGGGAACAATGTGCGTACGTTTACGATGGGGGTGTGCTTCCTTCAGGGCGTTCTGGGTCAACAATTGTGGACCTTACAAAGCTTGGCTGTTATAAGATTCTCAGACCTGGAAGGTAATTCACTTTGCTATTGACTCTAAACCATCCCACCCGCATGATAGCCTCTTTTACAATTTGTACAAACATCATAACCTTCAAATTACTGGCTCACGACAATTCTTGTTACCAAGACAGAAATAAGGGAGCCCATATTTTTCTAGTTTGAGTTAGCAATTAAGAAAGGCAGTAGTGTTTTGGTTGTGCCCATAAGCATAGAGCTAGCGATTCCTTAGTCGTTATTGTCACCATAACCATTTGGGATTCTTTTATTCGAAGGAGCATTGATATATACACAAGTGATGAGGATGTGTTCACTCTTTATATCATTCCTTTCCTGATTAAGTTAGGCAATGCCTCGAACAGAGGCAATACTGGTGTTTAAACTAAAGTGGTTAGGCAAAGGCATGCATCATAAATAGCTGAAATTTGTCACATGTTTATCAGTATCAACTCTTCTAAAACGTTTGAACTAAATGCCAGTGCCGAGGCAGAGACTGTTACGATCCTTGAAAGGCACTCTCTAAGTGAAGAGAAGTCCTGAAGATAAGTCCGAAGCATGGAGGAGCTCTCGTAAGCTATTCATTCCCCTGTGAAGAGGCATACTGAGATGTGGGTCTAAATATAGACAAGTGCAGGTTTTTGTCCAGAAGATGGAGGAACTGATGTTGACTCCCTGTCATTGTACCTTGTATCACTTGAGCTTGATGCTTATTTTTCCATCAGTTGAAATTCTTATCAGGAGGGTCACTGTTAAGTCTTTGGACGAACTCATAGGCCTCAAGACATGAAGAAACATCTGGGCATTCTGGTGAACATACACAAAACTTTGTTGCTCTGCTTAGTTGCATCTAATGGGTCGACACGGGATATTCCACTAGTCCTCAAATCAGATGTCTTGATTGCTCCAGACAAATTATAGTGACGCCTCTTCGCTCGCTAGTGAAAGTGCAAAACGTGTTTCGCGATGGTGTTGAATTGATATGCCGTTCACCTCAACATCTCTACCGAATATGAGACCCTTTTAGATGGGGAACACATGGAAATCATGGATCCACGTGAATCTCGTGGTCCATCATCATGCACGATTGCTTGAGAACTTTGGTCTACACGAAGTGACATCCATCCCAGACTTTGCCCAAGTCAGTACGCATTGTTGACGTGGGAAATGTGTTGTACAGCTTTGTTTTGGTGATGTGTTGCGCGATGGATACAGATGAAGCAATTACGACCTAAAGAGCACGTTGCCTCATTTTCTCCTTGCAGAGTCGTGGTTAGTTTGATTTGAACAAGATGAGTTTCAGACACTCTTCTCATCCCTTAACTAGTAGTCATTGGTTATTCCAACAAAGGCGAAGTTGGTCCTTTCACCAGAGACAAAAGGAAGGAAAAAAGGGCGAGTTGGGCACGGGGGTAACGAAATGAAAATGCAATCTTTGCATCAAATGCACCGCAAACATGGTATACCCAATCGATCAAATTATCCATCAAATAAGTATCTCGGTCGATTGTTTAGTTTGAATCTGAAAACTTTCATTTTTCCTCTCGTTCCACGAGCTATCATGCCGCGATATAACGCCCGCATAAAATTACCTATGCAAAATAAAAATCACAGTTTAGATGTCCACCGCATCACTAGCAGTAGTCCCTAATGCGAAGGCAGCCAAGGCACTTCTACAAATCATCAATGATCGGATCTTCGGAGATCAATGACCGTTAGGTCACGAAAGAACAAATCTCGATCTTTTGTTGAAAACTTTTTAGGACGGCGAAATAGAAACCTCAAACCACCCACCAAACCTTGGTCGTCTTGTCCTCATCCATGTAGCAGCGCTAGAGAATCAGTCTAGGAGCTAATGTTAAGACGACGGTTATGACGTGTAGTTAGGCGCCCAACGGGGTTCGATTAAAGATTCTCCCAGGTATAAGTTGATTCCTCTCCCCTATTCTTGTGGCCGCTAGTGTGTTTGGTTTAGGGAAGCCCCTGCAAAATCCCATAATCACTCTTCTTCCCACGTCCAATGACAAATTGGACCAGCCTCAATTGGTTCGAAAACAATAAAAATAGATACAGCTTAGAGATTTTCATTATTGACTCTCGAACACTTGATTTTAATTAAACGGACGTCAAGCTTACCACTTAAGAACGAAGTTCTCGAGATGGTCTTGTCTTTAATGTTCGATTCGACGAAAGCTGCATTTTCGAAACATATTAAGGGCCCGTTTAGTTCAGCTTTGGGGAATTCTCGTTGAGGAAATACGAATACTTTTGGGTTAAAGGGATTTTCCGAAATGACATCTAACTCAAAATAGTTCTCATGTTTGCTATTCCTTCTAAGGTGGCATTTCCGTAGAAGAGAGTCTTGCGAGGTAAAATTAACAACGTTAGTGCGAGCAGAAATGAAAGCCCCGATCAAAATTGAGGGGCTTAGCAGAAACAAACGAAAAGTAAGGGACCATCCCATAAAATGAACAAATTTTCCCACTCCCACCGCTGCAAATTGTTCGTGTGGCCACCACCAAGCCGGTAAGGACTAAGGAGAAGCTAACGAGGAAGAGATGTTCTTGTCGGGTTGCTCAACGTGTTTTCATCTTTGCTCGTTTTTGGCATATACCAACCCCTACTCCAACTCCTAATTAAATACCCACCTCCTGATTTCCATGAAAACGATGAGAAAAAAAAAGGAAAAGGAAAAAAATTCCTTCAACACTAGCCTCACATAATCCTCCTCCTCTCGGGATCCTTCGTTTTCACTTTCAATCGCTCTCACTTATGCATTGCAAGTCTCAGTCTTTGGAGTTGAGCAGCTAAAGGGTATTGTTTTCTCCAGGTAGAACCACGAGGCCTTAAGCTCATTTCTTGTTCAGCTTGTGTTGCCAGCACTTCTTCTTTGTTAAAGTCCTCTGTTTTGATTTCCGGGTCTGAGAAAATTTGACGGGTTATCCACTTTTAACTGTCAAGTATTGAGCTTTCGCGTGAGCTGTGAGGTGGGCACTCTTTGATTTCTTGAGGGATTAATTCCTTCTTTCTGTTGGTCACCAAAAAAAATTCCTTCTTTCTGTTGTGTGACTGAACATGTTGGGTGTTCGTTTGCTGAGGAAATTGAGTGTGGTCACCTGTTGTCTTCAAGAGCTCACTGAACTTTGTGCTGGACTTACCATATCAATCAATAGATAAGAAGATGGATATTTGAGACGTGTTGTGCTTAGGATTGAGGTTTTATCGTGTTTCTGACTGATCAGCGCGATCTCTTTGTTGTGTTTTGGGCTGAAGGTGAGGGAAATACTTCATGGGAATGGCGAGCGGAGCAGTGCCAGCTTCCTTCTCGGGGCTGAAGAGCCGGGACAGCGGGTTGGGATTCGTAAAGAGCATGGATTTTGTAAGGTTTTCTGATCAGCAGAGAGTCAGGTCTCACCGAAAGAAGATCACCGTGATCAGGAATTGCAAACCTGCTTCCGAGATACAACTCGAGCCTGCATCGGAGGGGAGCCCATTATTAGGTAAGATACCTTTTGAATTGGGTTGCTAGTTCTTGGAGGCACAATGACACAATTCGCAAAATTCTATTTCTTTCCAAAGTTCCAAAATCATTAAAAAAGGAGAAAAGGTTTTAGCCTTACTTGACTTTTGACAAACTGCTCTTTGGTTGGCTCAAGTTAAAATGGAAAAGGTAGAGAATCCTAATTCTGGATGCGAACGTTGTAATTATATTTGCTTGACACATAAATGGTCCTGCCACATGGTTTTTCTCCTGGAGCAAGGAGAAGTTAATCGTCACCATCTTTATATTGCTTCTTTATGCCTCAGTATATACAAGTAAACATGCTTGGAGGAAAGACGGATGTGTACTTTATCCTTTGAAGTAGGAAATATTGAACAATATTATACACTTTTTATCTGACAACAGTGAATTTAACCAGTTCCCAGGCAGAAGTACTGCGAGTCTTTGCACAAAACAGTCAGGAGGAAGACGCGGACAGTGATGGTGGGAAACGTGGCTCTTGGAAGTGAACATCCCATAAGAATACAGACGATGACTACATCTGATACTAAGGACGTTGCTGGAACAGTTGAACAGGTTCTTTACTTAAACCCGCATGTTTAAGCTAGTTCCATTACAAAGTGCTATTTCATTCTGTTAATTCTATCATATGCATTTATGGCATATCCTATCCTTTAATCTGGTAACTCTGCCAACCAATCATTCATTCGTTTGATCTACTGAGCCACCATTATGATACCCTATCCTTCCATTAGTAATATCATCAAAGCATCTGCATGTTGAAGAGGACCAAGAGTGGCCGAGGTGAATACAAGTACTTCTGGTGATAGTTCAAAGGCTAGGAAGAAACTGAGGAACTGGAACATTTTCATGGCATAAAAATATTGCTTTAATGGAAATGTGGCGTGGTGGTTTAGTTAAATCATGCGGCCAGCATTGGTACTATCACACATTTGTGGAGAATCTTCCTTTATTGATTTTCTATTCTGGTTGTAGGTGATGAGAATTGCTGACAGGGGAGCTGATATTGTCCGGATAACAGTTCAAGGAAAGAGAGAAGCAGATGCATGCTTTGAGATAAAGAACTCTCTTGTACAGAAAAAGTAGGTCTTATTTACTGCATTAAAAGTCATAGAACGATTCGTGTAGAATGATATATATCTGTTGATTTTGGCAGTTACAATATCCCACTGGTGGCAGATATTCATTTCGCACCTTCTGTTGCATTGCGGGTGGCTGAATGCTTTGACAAGATTCGTGTTAATCCAGGAAATTTCGGTATGTAGAAGTCCTTGTTGTTAATTGCGTATGATGAATATTTCCTCAACAAGGTTGTATATTGTAGCTGATAGAAGGGCTCAGTTCGAGCAGATAGAGTACACAGATGATGAGTATCAGAAAGAACTTGAGCACATTGAGCAGGTTATATTACTGATCCATCGATCACTTAACCTCTTGTGACATATTTGACTTGAACCCCTTGCTTGTACCTTTAGAAGTGGGTACATGACTTGCATATATTCTATCTAGGGTGAAAAGATTTTACAGAAAGATCAACTTATAAGATGGAGGGTAATTGCTGTAACAATTTCTCTTTTGGCATAAATCGTATGCTTTTAGATTCCCAGCCTAAACCACAAGAAAGAAGTGTCAATGTGGCGGCATTCTTTCTTTTATCTGTCAGTAAAACGAAAGAAGAGTCATTCAACCATGCCTAGCTATTTTTATTTGCGTGGGCTTGAGTTTAATGAAAAGAGGGCTTTGAACTGAAATGTGGAGTTGTCTCAGTAGAAGCAATCTGAATTCGTGAGTACCTAGTTTCTTGTTTTAGATACAATTGTTTTGGTCTACCAGGTATTCACTCCGTTGGTTGAGAAGTGTAAGAAGTATGGAAGGGCGATGCGCATTGGCACAAATCATGGTAGTCTTTCAGATCGTATCATGAGCTACTACGGGGATTCTCCTAGGGGAATGGTAAACAATTATTCTCTCTAAATCTATTAAGAGTTCTTTTACCTTTTCTTTTACTTTTTTTTTTGTTTTCTTTTCAGTGTTTTTATGGTCTAAATTCTGATACTGAAAGGTGTCCATTCAAACAGGTCGAATCTGCATTTGAGTTTGCAAGAATATGCCGGAAGTTAGATTTCCACAATTTTGTCTTCTCAATGAAAGCAAGCAATCCAGTTGTCATGGTTCAGGCATACCGTCTTCTCGTTGCTGAAATGAATGTTCAGGGATGGGATTACCCATTACACTTGGGAGTGACTGAAGCTGGAGAAGGTGAAGATGGACGCATGAAGTCTGCAATTGGCATTGGAACCCTTCTTCAGGTTTCTTTTACACCTACTGGCTTGGTGCAACTGTCCTGAACATGATTAGAACCCCTGTAGATCTAGATATATCACACTGCAATTCAGTGATTGGGTGGTTTAAAATGCTTTGCAAATCTTTCTGTTTTTATTTTTAGTTTTGAATACTCGGAGTCATTTTGTTTTTAGTGGATTGCACGGAATGTGCCATTGATGGTGATATTTGTAATGCCCCTTATACCAAAATTAGACCTTAAAGTTCATGAAACATGTTAATGCAGGATGGTTTAGGTGATACAATCAGAGTCTCTCTTACTGAACCACCTGAGGAAGAGATAGATCCCTGTAGAAGGCTGGCAAATCTCGGAATGAGAGCAGCAAAGCTTCAAAAGGGTGTGGTAGGTTTTTAATTTAGTTTGTTGTATCATTCTGCATTAGTCAACCATGTTGGGAGTATTGGGACCCTTAATCGCCCCGTCTTTATTGCTAATTACCATCAGGCACCATTTGAGGAAAAGCACAGACATTATTTTGACTTCCAGCGACGATCGGGTCAATTGCCAATGCAAAAGGAGGTTGGTCGTCAACTTGAAAATGACATTGGCCAAATTTTTTTTTGATAGTTCTGTTTTCTGACAACCATACTTAATATGGGAGTAGGGCGAGGAGGTGGATTACAGAGGCGTCCTCCACCGTGATGGTTCTGTTCTCATGTCTGTCTCCTTAAATCAGTTGAAGGTATTGTTTCAACTTTCGCAAAACAGAAAATCTTTGAGAACCTTTTCACTTGGGTGTACTTTTCTTTTTGTATTTTTCTACCTTTTTTTTGGTGGGGGGAGGGATGGAATATGCTTGTGAGTGTAAGTTTTGGTGAAGTGGTCTTCATCAAGAATTTGTGAGTGCAGGCCCCAGAAAATTTCTACCGTTCTCTTGCTACAAAGCTCGTTCTTGGAATGCCATTTAAGGTCTATCCCTTTCTCAGATTTCTTCAGTCATTTACTCTTTTACTGAAAGAAGTGTATAATGGTATATGGATTTTAAGCATATATTCAGTGCCTTTCTCTCTTAATTTAGGATCTGGCAACAGTAGACTCAATTTTACTGAGAGAGCTTCCACCAGTTGATGATGCTGATGCTGTAAGAACCAGATTTCTCTCGCTTAGTTTTCTATCATGAAATTTATCCCACCGCACATTCCCGGGATGCACTCGCGTACCTGTAATATTCTGACAACCAGTAATCAGTTTGAGTAATGTGATTGAGATAAGTTTCAATCTTTTCGTGACCAGCAACTAGCTCTCAAAAGATTGATAGATGTAAGCATGGGCGTTATAACTCCTTTATCAGAACAGCTGACAAAGCCGTTGCCCCATGCCATGGTTTTGGTCAATCTGAAGGAATTGTCATCCGGTGCTCACAAGCTCTTGCCAGAAGGTAGAACTGCTGATGTTAATGCTTATGTAGTTGGGAGTCGCTAAATTGAGCTTAACATCAGTTGCTTTTGGGGCAATTTTTCTTATGGCCTATCTACTTACTGGCTGTCAGGCACACGCTTGGTTGTGTCCTTACGTGGAGATGAGCCATATAAAGAGCTGGAAATACTTAAAAGTGTGGATGCCACAATGCTTTTTCATAATCTCCCACTTAATGAAGAAAGAACCAGCAGAGTGCATGCAGCAAGGAGGTAAACTTTTGGCAGGTCCTTGTTGTCTGTTTGAACGGCTATTGGAAGGCCAAATTCTTTCATAGTGATTAAAATACTGAGGAAGGATAAATACAAGGCAGTAGACACATTTTGCCTGATGAAACCTCCTGGATTTGTTAAGTTCCTTGAGGAACAGCCCTAGTTACCTTATAATTCCAATTCAACGCTTGGCATGCATTATATAATATCAAAGCTAAGCACAAAACTATTGTACACCTTGATCGTTGGGACATCAGGGGAGCATATGTGGTATATGCCTCAATACTGCTTGACTCCAGCAGTCCTCTGCAGCCCGTTACACATCTTCTCCACCCAAGAAAATAATGCTGTATGTCTTTTTGCAGGCTATTTGAGTTTCTACAAGAAAATGCTCTTAATTTCCCCGTTATTCACCATCTTCAATTTCCAGATGGGACTCACCGGTAATTACAATGTCTTTGAATGTATGCAAATGAACTTTTATACATCGACAAATAAGCTGACAATGTTTATTCTGATGATAGGGACGACCTGGTAATTGGCGCGGGAACAAATGCGGGAGGCCTTCTGGTAGATGGACTTGGTGATGGAGTCCTCCTAGAAGCCCCCGGCCAAGATTTTGAGTTTCTGAGAAATACTTCTTTCAATCTGCTGCAAGGTTGCAGAATGCGAAACACAAAGACGGTAGGAAGTCTTGATCGGAAAATTAATGAGATTAACAAATAGTTATAGAAATTTTCATTTGAGTGATCCTCGGAGCACCTTAAATATCCTTTCAGGAATATGTGTCGTGCCCTTCCTGTGGCAGGACGTTGTTTGACCTTCAAGAAATAAGTGCAGAAATACGAGAGAAGACATCTCACTTACCCGGTGTTTCGGTAATCAGATACTCCCAGTTGTGTATGATAAGGTTCCTACTACACTCTACTAGGCCAGAATTTCATGGTGTCTTTATTTTCCATCATCTCAGATTGCAATTATGGGCTGCATCGTAAATGGACCAGGAGAGATGGCTGATGCAGATTTTGGTTATGTTGGCGGTGCTCCTGGAAAGATAGATCTTTACGTTGGGAAGGTGATACATATTTTCACGTCTTTTCATGCGCGTTATGCATTGAGCAGCCCGTCTAATTTGCTTTTATTGTTAAGATCAAGTACCTGCTCTCTATGGCATTGAGCTAAGAATGTGATGACCCCATAAGATAGCTTGATTCACCAGTGTGACAAATTACCGTGACAAATGATTAGTACACTGATTTGTTATTACAGTTCTTAAATTCGTAATTCCGATAGTATCCAGACTTAACCGCAATTTCTCTGTTTCAGACTGTGGTCAAGAGAGGAATTGCGATGGAGCATGCGACTGATGCCTTGATTCAGCTGATAAAGGATCACGGTCGCTGGGTAGACCCTCCTGCTGAGGAATAAGATTAAAAGCATAATCCCCATTTCAAGATGGTTATATGACAGCATTTGGACGGCAAACCACTTATGTCTATTCTACATAAGTTGTCACACCATTTACACTATTGTACAACATAGGAAGAGAATAATCACCTAATTATTGAGCTGCAGTGTATGTACCACTTGTTCTATTGTTCTGAGGGGAAACGGTACTGCGATGATACTAGTGATGATGATTGATGTCCGAGCCATATCGTGCTTTTCGGTTCCTTCCTTCTTGCAGTGTGGACTCTTTTCCTTCGGCCGAGTAGAAAAAGGGATGATATGTAAGAGAGCTTGCTCCTGTGAACTTAATCTGCACTTTCTGAGGCCTTTCATTTGAGTGCAGAGTAAGAACTGAATTGCTTTATTGATGAGGTATCCTTGACCTGGGGTTAATAAATAAGCACACGGGCATCAATCTCGTAGTTCTATGATCTACCGAGAGATGAATCCTCGGGTCATTATGACCGAAACTCTATTTTTTTCGCGATCACCGTGCAAAATGTTGCAATCCACAAAAACTTAATAAGCTTTACTATCAAAGAATGATATTTACTATTTTCTTGATCCGAAAGTCATCGTGAAGTTGGGATCCATCCTCCAGGAATCCTAAGAAACACCCTTATAAGCGAAGCCGAAGACCCAATGGGAAAAGTAAATGATCGATGCCCTTGGAAATGGTACCTAGTCGATGTCGGTTACATTTTTCTGACAGGTTTCGATCGGTTTTTCCACACTATAAGCATCGCTAAGGAAGAAAATCGAAATATTAGCGACAAACTAAAACAGACATTCGATTTAGTAGATGATATGTGCCTAGTATTATTCTCGTCAAAATATCATGGAAAATTACGTATTACATACAAAAGATGATAACAGTAATAACAACAACAACAACAATCGACAATGGCGGAAACTGATGGAATCGCTGACCAATATGGAGTTTGCATTATTATTCTTGTAAATAGAGCGAAAATCAATCAAATGGCAGAAGCGCCTCAAGAAATCAAATGAATCTCTGTCTCCCTTCCCTTCACTTCACTTCACTTCACATTCCCATGCACGCTAATCAGCGACACTGTCCCGACAAAAACCCATCTCCGAACAAACAATGGACGAGACAGCGGCTCGGTGTACGAACAAAGGGTGTCGAGCTTTTTTCTCTTCACATAATCTCTCTCCTCGCCGCGTAACTGTACTGCGAGCGCCGTCTGTTCTCTTGCCTCTTCTTGTACACCATTCCCCCGAGCCCGGCGAGAGCGACCACGGCGACCACGGCGATAGCGATTCCCGCCTTCTTGCCGCCGCTCATCCCGCCGGGAGGTCCCCCGTCGTCGCCGGCCTCCTCGTCGGAAGAGATCGACCCGCCCGTGGCATTGCTCGGCGCGGGAGCGGGGACCGGTGACGGGGGAAGCGACGTCCGCGGGGAGGGGGCGGGAGCGAGGTCCGCCGGGGGCGGCGCCGGCGGGGAGGCGGCCGGAGCGAGAGGGGAGGAGGACGGGGGAGGGAGGTCGGAGGAGGGCTGAGGAGCGGGAGCCGGGGAGAGGAGAGGGGGGTCGGAGGAGGAGGAGGAGGAGGAGAGCGCGAGTGGGAGGAGGAGTGAGAGAGCGAGCGCGAGAGCGAGAGCGGGAATGCGGAGCCTGGCCATGAAGACTGAAGGAGGGGGTTAAGCTTCTCTAGTCAGCGAGACTCTGCTTCTTCTTATGCGGTAGGGGAGAGAGAGAGAGATTTCGACTGCGCTGCTGAGGAGGGAACTTAACGCAAACGAAAAAGGATCACGGAACGACGCGTCGTTTCGCGGCGAGGGGATCGATGGCGAATCAGACCTGTAAAAGACAAGCGGAAGCGATTGACGCGGGAAGTGCGGGCTGCGGATGCTTTTTGGGTGTTCTTTCTTCTTCTTCGTCCTTCCCCCCCACCCCGCGGTGGTCGGCCTTTCGTTTCTTCACTTGCCGTTGTGGAGACTCGACTTGAGTTCGAAGTGTGAAGCGAAAGAGAGAACGTGGGTGGCATCGTGCCTGCCGCCACTTGCGATCGTGGGAACCCCCCCCCCCCCCCGCCCTTTTCGGGCCTTCTTCTCAACTCAACGGCTCAGCCGTCGGTTTAGTGTCGCGTAAGCTACTTCAAGGACACTGCACCAGTTGCCCAAATCGCTTGGTTCTTTTCTGGATCTGGCGCGCGTGAGGATAGATGATCTTGGGATTTCTTTACCCAAATCGATCCATGTCGCAAATCCCAAGATCTCTAGCGTCGTCATCGCACTCTGCCCGCGTTTGTCGTAGATAGATAGATAGGAGTAAAGATGTATGCATCCAGTCTGTCTTCATAAGCGAAGAACGGATGGAGCCTCGGGCAATGTTTATGATGGCACACCATCCGAGACCAAATCCCTCTACGATCATGTAAGTAAACTGACCTAAATATTTTCTTGCCTCCCCGTCTACTGATATATTTCACAACCCCGGCCGGCATTCATACCGAGGGAATAATTTTGGCAGAGCAACATCCTACCAATGCAAGTGTTCATTCCCAATCTTTGCTTTAGAGCGAATAAGAAATGACTAAGCCTCATAGGCGTTGGCCGGAGGAGACAATGACCACAAAAAACAACCAGATCTTCGAAGGATACATACCCTTTATTACTGATGATACAGAGTCAAAACTAGGAAGAAGAAAATGGCTTTAAATTACTCTGGATGTTTTTCTTCTCTCTGATCACCCTACACTCGTCTAAACTGCTATTCGCTTCTTTTCTTCTCTTCTTTTTCGTATAACCCGATGAAAGAGAGAGGCACCCGTTACCCTGAACATCCTTATAATTCATCCTTCAGATCGGTAGTAATGGTTTCTTCGCCCTCTTTGGCATCAGTAGCAGCAGGTGTAGTAGATGCTGGCTTTTGAAGCTTGAAAGGGATTGATGCGTGCTTCTTCAGGAACTTATACAAAGCCACCACAGTCCGGTCGGTGTCTACAGTGATCTGTCCAAAGTACGATGATTTCATTAGTTACTTGTTGACTAGAGAAAGAGAGAGGAAAGAATTCTATCCCGGCATAAAATATATTCCCACACAGTTTGGGCCATACATTGAATAATACAAGAGAAGGGAATTAATCAACACATAAATGAGTCCATGCTCTTTCATTTCTAAGCAAAGTTTGGTTATCGGTTTTACCAAATTGGAAATAACTAAGGCCCTGAGGACAGTAAATTTATTTCAGATTTTCAACAATTCACAAAGGCCAGGCATACCTAGTTCGATTTCATACAAGACTACAACGGGTAAAAGCAGAAGTATATACAACCACAATGACAATAAAATTCAAACGCCACTTACTGGATCAAAGCTCTTGTTTCCAGCAGGGAAGAACAGAAGTGTGGGAAATCCGTCAGCCTGCATGAAGTAGACATATTTTAGCCACACAGTTCCTATTACAATCCATCATAGACATTTCATAGCAAAACCTCTCAAACAAAAATAGATCAGAAAAGGTGGATCTCCTAAGGTTGTTGACAAAATAATAGAAAATGTGGACAAGTTGATCAAGAAAAGATCCCTAAGGTTGTAATTGATAACACAAAACAAAAAAAAAAAACATGTACTTGAAGAACTAAGCTGAAGTGACAACAAGCGCTCTTACATAAGCCAACTTTCTCTTTTATTAGTGTTTCATAAGCCAACTTACCTTTGCCCTGGGATGTTCATTGGTCGTTCCATCCATCTTGGCAATAATAACAGTATCAATGCCACGCAAATGTTTGGCAAGTTTGTTGTATGTAGGCTCCAATGCTTGACAATGCCCGCACCAAGGCGCATATATCTGGTGACAGACCTTGCATTAGATTTGTCCCGTCCAGACAGAAAAGAGACGGATTGCACTCTTCTCTAAAAAAGAAATGGTACCTCAAGCAGGACATCCTTCGACTCATCCAACACTATTTCGTCAAAGTTGTTCCCAACAACAACTTTCACATCACCATCATTCTACAACAGTCACAGATACCAAATTATCAAAAGCACAACCAAATGACAAACCAAAGTCCCACAGAATTGAAACTAATCACTCACAGTTTCAGGAATTGGGTCTGATTTATAGAAAGGTTTTAGCTTCTCCTCCAAGAAATCCTCAGCAAAAGCCTGTGAGTGACTAATGCAAAATGTTATTTCCAGCTAACTAAATTCTGTACAAAGTGTTCTAACTTTACAGAATGCTTTATGACCTTAATGTTATCCAAAGTCACTTCTCCTTCAAGGAAAAACTTCCTCATGTCATCATTTCCGGTGTATCCAAGGACCTGTTGAAGACAAGCACCAAGAAGTTATTCAAGAGAAATGAAAACCAATCATTCCACATTTGTTGTTATAAAGAATGATAAACAAAAATTACCTTGGGACCACTCCCGGAGACACCAAAATAATCTGACACAGGCTTTCCAACATCTTCATTATCCATTTCCACATACACGAAGATCAGCTGGAGTTGAAATGAAAAAGAAAGTCGTAAGCGCATCAAACATCCGATTACTTTTGTGATAACAATGCATATGACTCTACAACAACTAAGTTTAGTTTCAGGCAAAATAGACCATAAGATATCACCAGCAGCCTCTGGCCTGCTGAATTTGTCATTTGGGGAAGACAAACCCAACACTTGCATGCGTATAAGGAGATAACTATCTGTCACCTAAGTACGATGTATTATCGAAGTAACAAAGTCGTTGCAATGAACTCCGCCAATACACCTTGGACTAGTTCACACACTAATTATTCCTGGCTCTGTAAGCAGCAGTGTCCCCTGGTGCTCATCAAGTTTCATCTAGCTGGTAATTCATGAAATACTGACTAAGACTACTGAGTAAGTTCCTCGATCGAAAAACCACTACTTAGAAGGATGTAACGCCAATTGGGAGCTTTCATACTTATGGTCTCAACTTACTTTTCCTTTAAAAAGCTTTGCAGCTTCCTGAAATACCAGGACAAATTTCTCCGAATCTTTTGATGTGGCAAACAGCAACACCTGAAAAGAATTTGCAAAGCTTAATCAACATCAACAAGGGATTCTGACACCTGTTCATGTACCAAGGATTACACTTACCTGCTTCTTAATTGGGCTTTCAAAAATTAATGGTGCACTTTCCCTGGTAAAAGTGGTAACCAGAGGAAGCTTGTTCGCGAAAACAAACTCGGCTATTGCAGACTTCTCAAATTTACCATCTGCAGAAGAAGGAAAACATTATGAGACACAGGTGCCTTGGCATGTATGCAGCTTTGATTTCACTTCACCGTAGAGAGAAAATTAAACTTACCCAAAAGGCTTAACTTTTCTGCCTCCTTCTTAAGGATGACCAAAGCAGGACGCTTGACTTCAGGGTCGATGTGGAAAAGCTTTGCAACATCAGGATTAACAGTTTGGTAGAAGTTGACATCATCTTCAATTCTTGAAGCAGCAGCAAGCTCCTCACTCTCAGGGCCCTGCCATCAATTACAAAAGGCAAAATTAACTTACCCGGAATATCTTTAATCCTTTTCCATTTATCTTTTTGGTTTTGGTAAGCGCGCACAAACTAGGTGAATGGCTAGGAAACTAGCATTTTCAAATGTTACTTTCTTTAAACTGGTGGTATAAGAACAGAGAACAATCACTCGACACTCAAAAGGAGACAGAGTCAAAGCAATTCTCATTCATCCCAACTGAGAACAATCATCTCAGACTCGAGCACCGCATAAATGGCATGCATTACGAAATAATGCATATAATTCTGAGATACTACAGTTATTGGCAAAAGCTCGTCAATTTTGATTGCATTTTGATCCAAAAGTAGTCGCTTCATCCCGTTACAATTAGATATCAGAAAAAATGCCGTTGATAAGTGTTAAATTCTTCAGTACCAAGTACCTTCAAATGGTTAAGATAGCCCAAAACAACTTTGTTTTCGGAAGTCAACACCCGTTCGGCATCGTCCACTGTGGTTATGTTATCCACGCCAGGCCCTGTTTTCTTCTTGATCCAAGTCACAATAGCATCCCTGGAGTGAAATAAAAAATACCCCTTAGCCCAACTCACACGCACATAGCATTCAATTCAGAACGGTCTCAAGGATCAACGAAACCAGAGATCGCAGAATCAAATGTCGACATTCATTTCCAGAAAAACCAAAACGGATCTTGGGAATAGACGAAAGGAGAAGAAAAACAATCAGAACGTTACTTGGTCCTTTGGCCGGAATACGGCTTGTGAACGCCATCGACGAAGAAATAAACAGTAGGAAACCCTTGCACCTCATACTTCTGAGCCAACTCCTCCTCCTCCGTCGCGTCCACCTTCGCCAGGACCACCTCCTCTCCCTTCAGCTCCGTCGCGGCGGCGGCGTACTCCGGCGCCAGGGCCTGGCAGTGCCCGCACCACGGCGCGTAGAACTCCACCATCACGAACCTGTTCTTCTCGACGAAATCGGAGAAGTTCCCCTCCTTCAGGACGACGACGTCCTTGTCGTCCACCTCGGGCTCCTTGTACGCGTCCCCGTCGTGCTCCGCCTCGTCGAGATCGGAGTAATTCTCGAAGTCCTCGTCGTCATCGAAGTGGTCGGAGTCGGCGAACTCGCCGTGATGCGCCGCCGCCGCACCCGCGGCGTCGTGGCCGTCCTCGGGCTCCTCGAGGAAGCTGAGATCTTCGTCGTCGTCGGCGGCGGCGGCGTCCTTGGAGAGAGAGCGAGGGAGCGAGGCGACGAGCAGGAGCGCCGCGAGAGAGAGGAGGAGGAAGACGCGCGTCGACATTGCGATCGGAAGAGAGAGAGAGAGGGAGGGACTGAGATCTGGCCGTGCTGCACTCTGCGTGGGGTTTTATACTGCGACGACGAAGAAGAAGAAGAAGAAGAAGCAGCAGAAAATGAAGTCAGCGAGTTAGCGTTGACCGGTGAACAATACGACGTCGTTCTGGGCCGACCGGCGATATTAAGTTAATGACGTGACGTAATAAATCTGAACGTTGAGCTTATATAAGGCAAAATGATAATGATAGTTTAATTTTGTTTCCGTTTTCTCGCGGATTTGCTTTGATATTCATTATTAATAATTAATTCATTCATTAATTAATTTGAAGAAAGACGTGGTTTTTATTTTTCCCTGTCACCGGTCATGTGAAACTTGGATTTGCTCCGTCTCGATTAGAAAAAAAACTATTGGCTCATGAAAAAAAAATTAGAAAAAGACTAAGGGCAAATTGTCGTGACGAAGGCAAAGGCGAAGACGAGGAGAGGTTGGTCCTTGTGTTCTTTTGCTAATGTCCGTCACATTGAAGGAGTGAACGGTTGATATTTAGGACGAAAAAAATTTAATCGTGACATCCGTAAAATATAATTTTTTATGTAAAGATCTAGAGTTTATGCATAGTCTTGAGTGGTATATAATTTTCTATAATAGACTCGTTTTATTATATTTCACACAAGGCGTTTTTTTTTTCTTTTTTTCTTTTTAAGTAGTAAGATGGTTTGCTACCTAGGGTTCAGTTTAGAGATGTGCAAAACGGACCGCCAAAATCGGAAACTGCTCAAACCGGACCAGCTGGTTTGGTCTGGTTCCTGAAAGTGTCAATCTGATTCCCGATTCTTAAAAGTGGAACCGGTGTCAGAGCGGTCCGGTTTCCGGTTCCAAAGGGAAACCGGATCGGATCAATTAAATATACTTTCTTTTTTTCTTCAAAAAAATTAATAAAATGTGAACTAAACCCTAAGTGAATTGGCATCCATTTTAAGATTTTTTTGGGTAATACCTACATCTGCTTGATGTATATAAGAGGATTTTACTTCTAAAGTGATCCCAACAAAACTTAAAGGAAGGAGCAAACTCCCTTGACATCTAAACCAATTGCTTATTGCTCTCATGTTTTTAACTCGAGTGATTAACAATGTTAACCACTCGAACGCTTTTAATTTTTATATAGACGGTACGCCGATGCATAGACATTACCGAATTTTGTTCCTCCACATTTCTTTCGCCAGTCAGCTAGTGTGATTAAATAATATAATTCATGCTACCGATCCTTGACACTGAACCATAATTATCTATCAAATGTCATTAAACGTCCACGAAGACATTCGGATATAAACTGCTATTAATGATGAAAATGTTTTTTATTGACCAATTACGTTTAAGTTATACGAACGATTATTTTCAGGAAAATATTTTTCAAATAAAGTTCGATCGAGGTGTTGAGAATTTTATTTTTTATTTTTTTAATTTCGCGGCACGAGAGTCGTATGAAAATTTTCCATGATTATTACAATTAAATGGTATTATTTTTGTTATTAGGAAATCCACGATAAGGAAAATCACGGCCCACGGGCCGCGGGGGTTCGGTACACGAACGGGCTACCGCAAAAAGGCTTTGGGCCTAATACGGCGGAAGGATTTCGCAATTCAGGCCCGACCCGAGAACCCTCCCGTCATCATCCTAGCCTGTCTCCCTCTTTTCATCTTCCTCGTCCTTCCTTTCCGCTCTGCAGTTTCTGCGAATTCCCGAACCGAAGCGAGCGAGAAGCCAGCATGATCAGCATTCTAGCTCGGGTAATTCACCGAACGATCCACCGAAATCTATGGGCGGTCGAAATTCGTCGATTGTTTGGAGCTTCTGTAGATGGGTTCGGTTGATTGATTGGTTTGATTTTGGTCCGATCCGATTTCGCAGGAGCGCCTGCTTGGGGCTGCCCTGGGAGGCACGCTCGCCGGAGCGATCGTACTCGAGGAACGGAAGAGGATATACCGGTCCGTTTCCGACGACCGGTCCCGCCTCGCCGCCCACGCTCAGGTGAATTTTCTGGTGCTCGGCTAGCCTTGCTCTTGTTGAACCGGCATTGGTTATCTCGATTCTCAACCCTAGACTGGGCTCCCGATTCAGTGGGCTAGATAGCTCGGGATTTCCCTTTTCGATTGTTATAAAATGGAGAATGCACGTTTTGGGACTAATGGCAGAAATGGATCAGCTCTCGGTAGTCCCAAATTGAAGGAACGTACTTTTTCGAGGTCGGATGATTGAAAGAGTGCGATGCGAATTGCCGGGAAGAGCATGTTGTGATGTAAATGCTCTATAGGGCTTTGTTCCTTTCGATTGCACTCGGAATGTTTGGACATTTCCGTGAGCTAGATAGCTCGGGATTTCCTTTTCTTCGATTGTTGTAGAATGGAGGATGTAGGTTTGGGACTAATGGCGGAAATGGAATGGCTCTCGGTAATCCCAAATCGAAAGGAACATACTTTTTTCCAGGTCGGATGTTTGGAAGAGTGCGATGTGAATTGCCCGGAAGAGCATGTTGTGATGTAAATGCTCTATAGGGCTTAGTTCCATTCGATTGCACTCGGAAGTTTGGACATTTCGTCTCTTAACTGCTATAAATGGTCAGAGCTGGTAGAAGTTGTTGCTCTGAAAATGGAGTCTGGGGATAAGGAGAATGAGGTTTGGTCGGTGCATCTATTATGGCTGTCGATGAAAACCCAAGGAACGTGGAGCCATTGGCTAAACCTGCAGGGTATGTTGATACCTGAGGTGGAGCTCTTTGCTGGTTCATGAAAAAAAAAGGCTTGCGCAGACACGTGCCAAAAAACTTGTTTGAACTGTTTTCTTTTTTCCCAATTAGTGACAGTTTATAGAATTGAGGGGAAATAGGACTTCATCTTTCTCATGATCCTGTGAAATTCTTTTTCCATTTTTTTTTTCGATAGTAGTCAAGCAGTTAGTTTGAACATGATTAAGCACCTTGCCTTGTGGCCTCATACTTAGTCAACCGGGTTTACTACTAAGTTATGTGGTGCTGTCTTGAAATGGCTTCGAATTCCTGTCTCTCTTAGGTAAGAGTAAGACATTAGGATTACTTAACCGTGCTAGATCCATCCAGGGTGTTGTTCTTGCTCGCTTCTCAAGATGCATAAGAAAACAGTGTCTCTAGCAGTTTATCAACACTGTGAAGGGTGTGAGGTTTCACTTGTTTTGATTCAGGCTATTCGATTTGTTAGTGACATTGCTTCTGTCATTATGCAAATTTGCCCATTGCCAAGCACCGGTCTACTTTGGTTACTTGAGTTCCATTTGCTTTAATTTCTGATCTGTGGACTTAATGGATGCAGTTATTTGCATATCTTTTTGGCATCGCATGGTGCAGTATTTTAAATCTCATTGCTTCAACCTTCTGCAGACGAGAGAGCCGATATTTGGAAGAGAATTTCGGTCAGAATTCGCACACCTGTGGAACAAGTCAGTGGATAGGACGTTGCGACCTGTAATTGAGTATCTTAGCTCTCGTGGGTGGTAGAAAAATCTGAGTTCTTCTCCCAATACATGGAATTTCATAAATTTTTTTGAAATAACTTCTGTAATGTCCTTCCTATTTTTGTATCTCTCCATTTCCTCTTTAATGGACCTGCTTCTTCAGCTAGGCCCATCGGATATGAACCTGGTTATAGTTTTCCCTGTGCCAATATCACTTCGATGCTTTTGTCTTTCTCTTTTTCCTCATTGTATCATTAACGAGGTTGAAACTGAATCCTTTGGACCTTCCATTTCAATTCACTGAATTGGCTTGTGAATCTATCTCAATGTTGCTATTAATTCAAATAGAGCAATCAAATGGCGAAGATTCATCAAAATCAAACGGGGAGTGACGGGGACATCTAAGACTAGTGATTCTTACCGGACTCGTGGATATATGATCTAGAGCTTGGTTAAGGGTAGATTGAGCTTTCACTCACTTTTCTCTGGAGCAAGAGTTTGAACTCCAAGAGAAGAGTGTGGAATGGAGGTGATCAATAATTATCCTCGATGAGTGTGGGGATGTTGACATAACTTTCCTGCATGTATTGGGCGAGGTCTAGCTTTGGTGAGGTTTGGTTGCATAACTAATTTTCATTCTTTGAGATGTTATGAGGAGGGCACAGAGTGTGACTCATATCATGAAGAAAATGTTAAATAGTGCTCAATTAATGGTCATTAATTGTGCTCTTATTTCTATTTAAAGCATGCCACTTTTTTTAATATGTTCTTTTCCCATTTTTAGAATGTGTTGATATGCATTTTTTTTAACCAGTTCTAGTAGTCTTAACTAGCTCCATTGGGGGCTCATTTTAACAAGACTCCGTTAGAAATATATCAACATAAATTTTGTTTTGAGTGGACAAATGTGAGGAATATGCTGATATTGATAATGTTTCCATCTGAAGGAGATTTGTCTGTTCTCATTGGTGTGATTGGTACGAATTCTTAGCTTGAGGTGTCACTAGAACTGTCTTTTCCACCAAAGTTCATTTTGTGAGCATGTGAAGAGACGTTATTTGTTTGAAAGTTGGATGTTCCTATAGATTGGTCTGTGAAATTCTTGTTGGACATTGATTGCATGTTGCAAGTACTCGTGATAGTATGAATTAAAATGACTATACAGCTAGTGAGCTCTACACCATTGTGTTACTTGTTTTCTGAGTGCATTAGTAAAATTACATACCTCTAGACGTCCTAACACTAGCTTGTCAGTCTCTGAATTCTACATGTCTGAAAAATTTTCATCTGCGTTGATATTTTCAGATATGGCATTGCGGTTATATTTCTCTGGATTATCCTATCATCTCGTATTATTCCTCAGGGACCTTTTCTTCCGCATGTCCTTGTATCTGGCCATTATCTTAGTTCTCATGCAGTACACTGAGTTAGGACAGTACATTGTGTTCCCATGCAGTCTTTGACGTAGGAGGCAACATTTCCACTAAATCTAAATGTATTCACTAGATTCAGAAATACATACATCAGCTAGAAAACTTCCCTGACGATAAATCCTAGCGAGAAAGGGAGGGAGAGAGAGAGAAAGCGAACAATAGCAGTAGTTAGGACAGAGAGAAGGGGATAGGGATAGGCTTCTCGGCATGATGGAACACTCTACACTGACTGTGCGCATCCAGCATCTGGTTGAATGGCTTTGGCTTTGCTTGTATTAGCCCGGCGAGTGACCACCACATAGTATACACCCATTGCCAAGAGCACAGCAAATGCTAGACCGAACACAATGCCGACAATGCCACCAGCTCCCATCCTGCTTTTACCATCATGGGTCGCGGAGAGTTTGCCTTCCTGTGCTTGAGCAGCCTCAGCCATTTGAGCCGCCTCAGGCAATGGGGAGCAACTGGATTCAGCACACGGGTTCCTTACGGTGGTCTGCTGCGTGTTTGGGTGGAAGAAATCATATGCCGAAGGTGAGAAGGCCACGGGGTTTTCATAGGCCAGGCCATGGGGGGCTCTGTCTTGTGCTCTAGCCAGGCACAGAAAAGTGGGAGTCAACAGGATGAGCAAGAAAGAAGGCATGGGTGTCATGTTTCTTGGTCTCTTGGGAGTAAAGCTGAAATGTGGAAGTGGTCTAGTTCTCGGCTTTGAAAAGGTGAGGATGCTTCGGGCTCGTTTATATGGGAGTCGCGAAGGGGGTTGTTGCTTGGAGTTGAATTTTTTATGAAGCACCATTAGAGAGCAGTTATGATGAGAGAGGAGGGAACAAAATGATGGGAAGGTGTTCAAGCGTAAAGGATAAGATAAGCAACTTCTCCCAAGAAGGCCTTCTTCCAAACCTAAGTTTGAGAGAGGAAGCTGTCTCCTCTCATTTATTTCCAAAATTCCTTGGATAAGATCATTGTTTACACATTTCTCATGGATCTTAAGTGCTGAATTTTGCAAGAACAGTACCCAAGTAAAGAGGGCATCTTGGACACCGAGGCTCCCTCCTCGTGACCTTATTCATTCTTACATCTACGCCAGTGGCATTCCAGTCTCGAGTGGTTCCGTGGCATGTTATCTCCACTTTTGAGTGCCTTCTAATCCACATCTAAGTGCAGACGTGAGAACGAGTTATTTGACTCTCGAACAAACTGCCATTTCTCACATTCCGAGTCATCTTTTTCTTCTCGCTTTTTTTTTTTTTTTCCCCTTCTATTTGTTGGTGGTAATGATGGGAGGAAGCAACGATTAGAATCATAAGGGGTCGACGTTGGGCTCTGCTTTATAGCGTGATGGGAAACTGAGGAGTGATGGCACATCATGTGGATTTCATTTCTTAGCTTTTGAGTTCAGCAAGGGTATATACATCTTGCATATGTAGCAATGAACCCTTGGTGGGTGTAATTATAACGGTGGGGGTGTGTCGCTACTTCCGCATTACACCTGCCCTAGAATTATTATAGCGAAGGTAGCCACAGAAACGCATGCAAAGAGGAAAAACAAAAGAAACCTGAAATCAATGCTCATCCGTCGACTCATATTAAAACCAGATCGATCACCTTCACGCTTTTTCCCTCATCCTGTTCCCTTCTTTCGCAGTGCGAAAGCGAACTCTCTCACTCATGTAGTCACATGACAAGCTGCGCAACACTGTTCGGCGTGAGCTCAAAATTTGCACGGGACTCTCGTTTTAGCTCGACAGTGAAGTGGGGTTCTCGTTTCTCAATGGGGTTCACCTCACCAGTCTTTGCACGGTCGTCCCCACATGAATCGGCTCCTCGAGAAATTTGCATGGCCTTAAAAACTACTAGATTCATGGTAACAGTTGCACTAAGGGCGAGCGCTAAGTGTACCGCCTTAACTCGATGGGAGTTACAAGTCACTGATTAAAAGGTAAGACAAGTCGAGTGTACCGAATCAATTTCCGCAAACAAATCGATTGAGACTTTGATGAAGTATTCTGTTGACTCAACACAGTCCCGATACATCTTGTTGCTATTCAGTTGGTCCAGTTTAGAGGTGGCAAAATGGGTCTATAACCGATATATTGACCCATATTTAATAGTGTGGGACATAAATGGGTTGTCTTTAGTTTTAAAAACAAGATTAAGTGGGTCATAAATGGGTTATTAAAGGTCTTAAATGGATTTTAAATGAGTCATAAATGGGTTACTCATGAGTTATAAACAAGTTTTCTGATTTTTTAATTTTGTGATTTTTTATAATTTTTTATTTTATTTTTATTTTTTCTTCTATGAAATCCGGCTAAGGTCGCCGTACAATCCTTGCCAGTCACAGGCAAGGACCACGAATTTTTTTTAAAAAAATAGATTTTTTAATAATAATTTATTTTATTATTTTATTATCTTTCTTTTTTCTTATTTCTCCGCCGCCGCGACCAGCCGGTAACAGCCACAGGCGAGCTAGCCGGCTGGTCGCGGCCGGTCATCAATTGTTGGCGGGACACCAGAGGAAGAAGGAAATCTGGCTGGATTTCTAGAAAAAAAGGAAAAGAAAGAAAGAAAATATAAAAAATTCAATTTTTTAAAAAAATTATAAAAATTGTCCTCTAGATTTATATTTCACGGAAGTGTATTAGCAATATAATTTTTAATAAAAAATCATAAGAAAGAAGTTTTCCTAGATTAAATTAAATATGGAAACGTTTTAGCAATATAAGTTGAATCGGGTATGGGCTGAGAAATTTGCATTACACATAAAATGGGTCGTAAACGGATTAATGACTCAATTTGGGTCGGACCATTTATGACCCGATCCAAACTCGACCCGATTCACCCGTTTGACAAATTTAGTCCAGTTTGTGGCGTCTTCGGTAGGTAATGAAAAGAAGCAGAAGCGAAAAGAAAAGAGTGGACTGGACTGGAGTGGATCAGTTTTGAGACACTCCTTTGCGGTCATGACTTTAAGTCATTGAAGAGACTTTAGCCATGGAAGATATGAGTTGACCATGGACCTTAACCAGTATAGGCTTTTGGCCATTTGTGATTGGATCAGGACGAGCATAGCGGTAGTTTTATCTAATTCACCCAGGATCCCAAGTGATCGCTGCTCAAGCTAAGTCACCTAAATCCCACTTCTCCAAATATCACAAACACATAATCCCGAGAACTTCCATCACGACCACATTTGGTAAGTAAAAACCACGATCTGATAATCATAGGGCAGCTTCAAAATCAGCTATGTATTATCACATTGTCAGGTATCGATTACTTGGCGATAATTAATACTTGGTATAATACTATAATGGATGCATTTTATAGCCTCTCCCTTGGTTTTTGTGGGAGTTAACTCTCAGATAATATACGAGAAGGGCAAGCATGGTTTGGGTGGGCGGTTCCCACCTTGGAACCAGGAACTATCCACCAAGGATTGGTTTCAAAAAATTAAAACTGGGAACCCCGTTAATTCTATAGACCGGATCATTGGTCTGGTCTGGTTCGATTCCCAATGATCCGGTTTGGTTCGATTCCCAGATAAGTCCATGGAACCGGTCCCACCAAGCTTCCCTAGACAAATCACAAAATGGGTTAGTCTAAGTCCCGTGGCTCATGGAAGAAAGCGTCTCGGTGGGTTGTGTTGCAGTTGAGTGAGAGGTAAATAGGGTTTGAAGGTTGGGAGTACGCTTATGCCTTTTGTTTGTTGTGATTGTGATGTTTCTTGCAACTCCAAGGAGAGGGCAAGGGCTGGACAAGGGGAATGGCAAGGCATTGGTGGGGGATTTGCTCTGAAGTGGCTAGAACATAGATAATATTGCCACAGCAAGAAGAACCAGGATATTGTAGGGATGAATGTTTTTTTTCTTCGACTTTCACTTTTGCTAAAGGTGAACTGAATTTTTTAAAAATATATATATACTCCACACTAACAATTCGGGAACCGAATCGGTACCCATCGGTTTCGGTAAATTGAAACCAGGAACCGAACCTGTCCGCATGGGAACCACCAGTTCCGACCGGTTTCCGGTTCCTTTGCACATCCCCAGTGTGGGATCCTCAACTGATAGTTGATAACGCTACGAGGATTTTAGTCTTTCTCCTTTTCCCATCTTCTCGTTGGCATTCAGGCCCGTTATCTTTTGGTTAAGTAAGAACATGGCTTATATATAACATAATGCAAGGGAACAGGAGCAAGAAAAATCGACAACGGACCTCCCCAAAAGGTAATTTTAATGTGGCCGATTTCCCCCACCCGCCGAGCAGGGACGAAAGTCGGCCTTAGTGATCCGACGGTGCCGAGTGGAAGGGCCGTTGCTTAACGGATAAAAGTTACTCTAGGGACAACAGGCTGATCTTCCCCAAGACTTCACATCGACAGGAAGGTATGACATCTCAATGTCGGCTCTTCGCCACCTGGACCTGTCCAACGGATTTTTTGAGCATTCGATTTACATAAAAAATCTCCATTACTAATCCTTTATGTATTTTACTTTTTTTTTTGGTCGAAATTGCTGCAATACATTTCACCACTTGCAAAGTTGAAAACAGAGGAGAACATCAAATAACCACAACCAGCACTCAAGAACACAAGCTAAGATCAGAGAGTTGAAACAAAAAATTCAAAAGACAAGACGCAAGACACACTTCAAAAGGACAGATTTTTGTCGACATTTTTGCTTTGACCCTCCCTTTATCCAAGCTCTGATCTGACCCTTGAAACAGAGAACTGAAAACTTGTTGCGAGTTTCAAGAGTTGCTCCTGTAGGAACCCAAGGCCTTGCCGGCTCCAGCTCTCAGGATGTACTGGTGGTAGAATGCAGCAATTGCAGCCCCAACGAATGGCCCAACCCAGAACATCCACTGTACACATAAACAAAATCATATGACTCAAGATCATCGTGTCAACTTAGGCCTCACATTGCTCTCGATTATGCCCAAAATTGATGTTCACGTGCACATATTCAAAAAGGAAAATTGATGAAATAGGTTGAGTTACGGTAGTTAAGAGTCCGAGAGATGCAGTACCTGGTCATCCCATGCCTTGTCCTTGTTGTACATCACGGCAGCTCCGAAGCTCCTTGCCGGGTTTATGCCTGTCCCCGTTACGGGGATCGTGGCCAGATGAACCATGAACACCGCGAACCCGATCGGCAACGGTGCCAGTACGGGAACGTGGGAGTCCCTGGCGTTTCGCTTCGGGTCGGTGGCCGAGAACACGGTGTACACCAGAACGAAGGTGCCGATGATCTCCGCCCCCAGCCCCACGCCCTTGCCATACCCATCAGCCAGCTCGTTCGCACCGCCGCCGTACCGGGTGTAGTACGCTCTCTGGAATGCCTTCACCAACCCGCACCCGCAGATGGCGCCGAGGCACTGCGCTACCATGTACATCACGGCCCGGACGAGCGACACCTTGCGTGCCAGGAAGAGACCGAAAGTCACCGCCGGGTTGATGTGCCCGCCTGTACATGTCGAAAAAACCGAGGTATGTACGTGAGAGATAAATGTTACATTTTTCCGACAGTTTAAGCTTTCTCGATAAGGTTACAATGAACGTTGTGATGTAATCTCATCACTAACGTAACATTAACAATTCTGAACCTATATGAACAAATATATTTGGTCCAATGAAGTTAGAAGTGTTCGAGGAACAAGCTAAGATCGGTTAAAGAAAGAGAAACCTACCGGAGATACCGGCGGTGCAATAGACAAGGACGAAGATCATGCCCCCGAAGGCCCAGGCGATGCCGAGAATGCCGACGCCGCCGCACTCGCCACCGTTCAAGGCCGGGTCGGTCTGGCTCTTGTAGCCGATGACGGTCAGGACCGTGATGTAGAGGAACAGCATCGTGGCGATGAACTCCGCGATGACGGCCCGGTAGAACGACCAACTTCCCAGCTCCTCCGGGTCGACCAGAGGGGCGGGCGGCGGGTCCTGGTAGTCCCTGGTGGCGAACCGAGGCTCCGCGGCTTCCGAGTCCTTTGCCATTTTGCTTGGCCTCTCTCTCTCTCTCTTCCGTGCTCCTACTTGGAATGCTGTGAAAACGAGTACTTTAGAAGATGGTGGCACGAAGTTGCTTCTAGCTTATTAGTTTTGGGCGCGTGCTGTGGGATTGTGCATGATTCGAGTGGTTATTTATATTGAGAGAGGGAAGTGCATATTGGATGCATACTTTGCATATGGTTTTGATTGATGACATAATTAGGGGCAATTCTTTTTGGCCGCCCCATTACGTTTGATTTCGATTTCTTGGCTTGCATGGTCCCACTTTGTCATTCGACGGCTCTCTTTTCCCTTTTTCTCCTTTCTTCTTCCATTAGGTACAATTTTCAATTAGAAAATTACGCTGCACATCAATCTTAAACTTTCTAATTTTACCAATTAACTCATAAGTCTCCGTGCGAAATTCCAATGCAGCCGTTCTGGACAATTTTCAACAGAAGAAGGCGACGACTTGAGGTCGGTGATTTCCGACGAAAATCTAAAGAAAGGGACTACGTTAGAATTTTACGCGAAAGTTTTATGACTAAATTGATGAAATTGAAAAATTTGAGATCGAATTAGCGTCTATCTAATAGATCTAAAATTGATCAGGTAATTTTTCCATTTTCAAGTTACGATACGACAGACATAATAATCAACGGTGTGTGAAATTATGAACTGACTTTCGGGTTGCGTTGCTCTTGGCATCATCGTCTAATCATGTTTTGGCCTTAACCAAAGGTTCGGACCAATCCGGAGTTAGTGATCTGTGAGTAGCCAATAATGCATTGCCAGATGGAAGTGATCTGGACCACCACACCTTATCCCATTGTCGTCGAACCAATCATAAGCCTCCAACTGCTGATCATCTATTATAATTATGTTTATTCCCTTTCCTTGTCCTTCATTGTATAGTTCCTAGCTTCTTTTTATCTATTCTAACTTAGCCGAACCAAAAAAAAAAAGCGAGAATACGCGACAACCGAGCAAGTATCGCTTAAATTCATTATATCAAACTCATTCAATGTCGAGCTTCTTGATCCGGAGGATCTGAAACAGCGAGTCGACGTCTTTTCCTCTCTCTATTGGATTGGTTCGAGAGCAGTGCAGTGGTGCCGACCCTCTTCTCTTTCGATCACTCCCTTTTAATTTCCTCTTCTAATTTCCATCGCACCATATTCCCTTTGCCCAAACACAAGATCATATTCATATATTTCAAATCCAAGAAGCCCCTAAGCTTTAGCTCTTCTGAGTTGGCAATCAATATTGTCGAATTTGCATGTCGGATGTGACCAGTAATGAGGGGGAAAAAAACATATTTGCAGAAGCCGACCACGCATTAATAATTCTATGCACTCTTGTGACAAGTCGAAGCAAGCCACCACCGCCCCCATTTTGTTTAATCAGATCTTTCAATTTGCATGATTCAAGCATTTTCCTTTGCTGAACTGAAAACGAAGGATGCAGTTGCGGCTGCGGGGCAGCCACGTGTCCGACTACCAAAACCCACAAACGCCCAAGTCTTCTCCCATGATCTCCCAATTGGCCGGTGGATGTTATGCTACTGACGATGGTTATATTCATTTACGGGAAAATGAAATAAAAAGTCTCTAAACTTTGATTAAATATGTAATGTGATTCATGAATTTTTAATTTATTCAATGTGATCCATGAACTTTTCGTACCTGTTCAAACAAGTCCCTGGACTATATGAAAATGTTCAATGAGATCCATAAACTTTTAATTCGTTTGATATAGTTACTAAACTTTTGGTACATATTCAAACTATTCCCGAATCTTCTCCCATGATCTCCAAATTGGCCGGTGGATGTTATGATAATAACGATGGTCATTCTTTCGTTTATTGCAATGACCTCATTTTTTCAAAAAAATAGAAAATTAAGCTTTCAGGCTACATTCAGTCGTCCAAGCATTTTTACTGGATAGAATATTATCGAATAGGATAAGAATATGATAGGATTTTCAATATCCCATCCAATGTTTGTTGACGAATATGGTATGAATTTAAATAAATATTATCCAAATAAGTATTTGATTTGCAATGTTAAAATTAAACGTAAACCGTGGAAGTTGTTTTGAGACACCAAATTCTGCCCTGCTCTACCTCCGATTTCGCCACTTCGAGACGTCCTCGAGTTTGAGTTCTTCACCGGTCCCACCATCTCCGGTGCCGTCGATGCCATTCTGTTCAATCCATCCTCTCCTTCTTCGAGTAAACACGATCTCTCCCTCTTCCCTCTCCTTCACGCTTTGTTCACCTTCAATACCTTCCTCTCTCATCAAATCCAAAAGAACTGATATAAGGATCACGTCGAATCTCAATTGCAAATATGACAATGGAAGCAGTACAACGAGAGTGGAGTCGTGGATCAAAGACCAATGGGCAAAGTTCCTCAAGGTGTCGTGGGGCCCGCCCAGACGGCGCATAGATATGGCTCGCGAGCAGGCAGTTCCTCCGGTCCAACTAGCTCCGAGTGACGCGGTTGAGGAGCTTTATCGCCATGGCTATTGCCTCTATCGGATCATCTTCTTCACGAAGGAGGTGCCAGACTCTGGTCAGGATCACGAAGTTCCCCGTGAGGATGGAGCTGATCGACATAAGTTTTCCCAAAGGCGGGAAGCAGGTCATCAGCGGTGGGAGGAGTAGCGGCCATTAGAGTCTGACATGATGGTGCTAAACCAAAAGAGAGGAAAAAAGTTATCATATCTAGAGTTTTATCCGGCTCACCAAACGCAGCCTCAGAGAATGATGGGAGTTTAGGGAAAATCGTTCAAAAAGTTATAAATCTATTGCACAACGACTAATTCAGTCCTAAACATTATCAGTTTAGTTTTAAACCTTTTGACGATTTGTCAATTTAATCATAAACCTTTTGACAATTTATCAATGTAATCCTTTTGGCCAATTTTAACTTAAAATCACTGACGTGGATGCCGGCTGGGTGTCCTACGTGACATGACCGACGCTGATGTGGATAATTTTTTACATTTTTTAAATTTATGCTGAATTTTTTTTTATAATATTTTCTTTTCTCTTTCTTTTCTTTCTTTTAAAAAAATTCAAAAAATTCAGAAAAATGCAAAAATTTATCAATATTAGCGTCGGTTATGTTACATAGGACAGCTGGTGCTAAATAGATCGCCACGTCAGCGATTTCTAGCCAAAACTAATCGGAATGACTAATTGACAAATCGTCAAAAGATGTGGCGTTAAACTGGCATATCATCAAAAGCTTTAAGGCTAAATTGGTACGATTGAAAGGTTTAAGATTGAATTAGTCGCCGTACAATAGATTTAACACTTTTTGGACAATTTTTCCGAGTTAACTGATATGGGCATCAAGGTTGACTACGGACAATCTATCGTGAATCGCTTTATGTGCAGCCCAGTGTTGGCCCGACCATTTTATCTTAATTTGGAGGTTCGAGCACTCGATACTTTGGGCCGATGTGGGCCGATGAAGCAAAAGCCCAGACTTGCCCACTTGCAATATCAACCGTGCCCAAATGGGCCAAATCGTGGAGACCCAGTTTAGGTCATCGGCCATTTCTGTTCGCAAAACGTATGGATATTCTCATTTAAGTTGTTTGAGATAGTTTTCCTTATCATAGATTTAGGGTGATACTACCAAGTTTTGATTGAAATGTGTGTCTCGAAATGAAGAGACGGAAGTGAGACATGGACATGGACACTCACATTAGGGGGGGGCGAGATAAAAGGACTGTGCAATACCCTAATTTAGAAGGAGCGAGATATAAAGACTTCACACGAGATATCACGGACTCAAAGCTAATGTTCACAAAAACTTTCATTAAGTAATCAGAGGAAATGATCACTGCTTGCCCTCCATTCGACTCGTCATTGTTCAAATTTGCATCGCCACTCGCTCCATAAATTTCACACTAGTAGAATTACAGTTATGCCTAAAAAAAACGTAAAATGGATATTGATATTATAGGTGGACCAGATTGAGCTCGCTCTTTTTTCTCCATGCGTATTCTAAAGTCTAGATCACTATAAAAACTATAAAAAAAAAAAAAAGAACGGGGGGATTAGTGCACTATAAGTCAAAATGCAATTAAATCATAAAACTTTCAAAAAGTACAATCGAGTCTTAAGACTTGTCAAGTGGATACAATCAAGTCTTAAAACTTGTCAAGTCGGTGCAATCAAGCCCTAAAACTTATTGAAATTTTCCATTTGTCAAGTTGGACGGAGTTAATGGAAAGACTTGATTGTACCGGCTTGATAAGTTTTAGAATTTGATTGCACTTTTCGAAAGTTTTAGAATTCAATCGCACTTTCGCGACAAGTTTCGGGACCTTCGGTACACTTATCCCAAAAAAAAAAACAAAGAAGATTGCTCACAGATCGCATTTTATGGGCTACCCGCATTGGCATGGGACTCATCGAACTAAGACGGCAAAAGGGTCGAAAGCAAAGTGCAAGAAACGTAGTGGCAAACAAGCATTCGGGGGTCGAAATCAGGAGCCCCCCAGCAGTTTAGCTTTCATGGTCATGCGCGACGCAACAATAATGCTCTTCTTCCCTAATAAAAGGAGAGCCTCAAGTTGGCAACTTACAACCACTTTCCCTCTTTTTTCCAAGGCCATCGGGTCCAACCCAATCCACCCTTTTATGGTCATTGTCTATGACGCATCGGCTGAACAATCCTCCAATCGACTCGTCATTGCTGAAATTTGCATCGCTGCTCGCTCCATACATTACGCACTAGTAGATTTACAGTTATGTAAAATAAATAATCATAAAAATACTTTAGGTGGGCCGCATTAAATGTTAGGATTAGTCGAACAAACACGGCGAAATAGAGAGTAACTGCGAGGAAGAGAAATCGTGACACAATGTTTTATTTTGGTTCACCCGTTAACTAGAGCCACATCTAGCAGAAAATTCCACTATATTAGCACATATCATCTCTACGTTACAACTCTCAATTACAAAAAAAAATAATTACATATATTTAGTAACTACTAATAGGCAGAAACTCAAACTACCAATAAAATATTGATCCAAACTATAAAAGGCCCCTTGCCTTCTCGTCGATGGGGAATATGAACCA